CGAGGATCTTTTGATTATCTCTGATTCTGGGATGTTCGTCCTCTTCAGTGCGTCCAAGAGTATGATGTTGACCGAGGATTCTCCGTCAACAAGGATCCTTCTGACGAAGTGGTTGGAAATGTACAGTGTTATCACGAGTCCGTCATGGTGAGGATCCTGGATCTCTTCCATGTCCGTCTCGTCAAACGTGATTTCCTTTTCATTGCTAACCGATGTATTCTTCTGTGGTCTATCCACCTTTTCTGTTTTAGAGACCTTTGTGTGTCTTTTAGCCTGAGAATAAGAAGTACCATAAATGTTTTAGAGACCTTTGGGGGTGGAGATCCTGGTTTCTCCGGGATCTTGTGACCATCCTGGTTGTTCTCCTTGGACTTTTCTTTCTTTCTTCCGAGGATCTTTTTAAGATGCCCTTTGCTAAGAAGGTAGCTGATATCCTTTCTTAGGGCTATGCAATCCTCCGTTATGTTACCGAAATCTTCGTGGTAAGCACACCATTTGGACTTGTCTTTCCAACTGGTGGACTTGTTATCCTTCTTTGACTACCTTGCTTTGTCTCCAAGATCCTGTATAGCATAGATTAAACCTGAAAAATCCACAGAAAAACAATAGCTAGTGATCTTAGGAGGTTCCTCTTTCTCTCCTTCATCTTCGAGGGCATTAACCCTGTGATGATCTGGTTTGGAATAGGCCTTCGATTTGTAGGATCTTGGAGCCGAGGATTTGGCCTTCCTATTGGGGTTCTCGTATTGACTTGAAGGGTTTCTCCTCTTATGGACTTCTTTATCCTCTTCAAGCCTTATGAACCTCAATGCTCAGCACCTAACTTCGTCCAATCTCTTGCATGGAGTCATCACGAGATCTTCATAGAAGGGTGAATCCTTCTTTAGACCCATCTTGAAGGCCTCCACAGCAGTCGTCATGTCAATGTTGAGGATGCTCAGAGCTTCCCTGTCAAACCTGTTAACAAAAACCCTAATTCGTTCCTTAGGATCTTGAACCACCCGATAGAGATCACTAGTGATCTTCTCGAAGGTTCTGCTACAAGAAAATTGGTTATTGAAAATATTGACTAAATGTGCAAATGAAGT